AACAACCTGAATTCCTGGGATGAAATTCGGCTTCATGGAAACAAAGGCAGCTTTAAGTCTATAAAACTGCATAAATAGTATATGCAGTAGAGTGACACAGGAGTTTTGGCTAAAACACAACAACCACACTGCATCCTCTTCCAAGGCTGGGAGGAAGCGCTATGCTTCTGTGACTCTAGAAAAACTACGGCTCGGCCAGAGTGCCTGGGATTTCTACGCATTTGAACAGCCATGATGCTTTACTTCAGCAGGCCGTGGCCCACGAGGGCAGCAGATTGATGAGGATGTGTCCCGGATGCCACGTTCAAGTCTACCACACACCTCAACAACGACTGCCCGGGTCACTGAATGCACTGCCTCTCAGAAAAAAAAGACAAAGAAAATTGAAAAATAAAATAAAAGTGTTCAAAACCTCACAGTGGAGAATATTTTTTCTTTCTTTCTTCCTTTTTTTGGGTGACTGTACCAAGAACTTCCGCTGAGAGAAACTGAAGACACAAATGAAGGCTAAGACTTGTATGAGAGACCAAGGCTAAGACTTGTATGAGAGACCTCTGTTTTACAGGGTGGGGCAAAAGTAGGTTTACAGTTGTGAGTACACAAAATACAGTTGATTCTTTTGTTGTTGTTAATCCTCACTCTAGGATATTTTTTCCATTGATTCTTAGAGAGAGTAGAAGGGAGTGGGGAGGGAGAGAGAGAGAGAGAGAGAGAGAGAGAGAGAGAGAGAGAGAGAGAAACATTGATGTGAGAGAGGCACAGTGACTGTTGCCTCCCGCATGCACCCCAACTGGGGCTAGGGAACCTGCAACCCAGGTACATGCCATTGACTGGGAGTCAAATCCTGGACCCTTTGGTGCGTGGGCCGATGCGCCACCACTGAGCCAGGGCACAGTGGCCAGGGCACAGTTTATTCTTGCATTTTTATTTATTGATTATTGTATTATTTTCCCAATGAACAGTTGTAAACCTACTTTTGCCTCACCTTGCATACTAATAGCCCAATACAGAAAAAAAGCAGTAACTGTTCCAAACAGATTTCTTCCTTTTCAAAACATGTACTGATGGCAGAGAAGTACCAAACACACAAATAAACAACAGGACATAACTGAATGAAGCAAAAAAAACACAAACCCTACACACAACTGGCATTTTAAATTTGAATGATCTGGTAAAAGGATAATAGCAAATGAATAGTTAGGGGGCACATGATGACTTTTCCCCAATTGGAAAGTGCTGAACAGGGAATTGACATCATCGTCAACAAAAGATGGGGAAGAAAAATCAATGCCATCTACTATGAGCTCAGTGGCAGAAAATTCACTTGAAGACTGATGAATGTAGCTTTGCTTTCAATCTGTGTTTGGATAAATATTTTGATCTCACATCCAGCCTTGTCAATTGTGTTTTTAATTGGTGCTGACCCATGGCCGCTGTCCCTGGAGCTCAGCCCACAGCCTGAAGCAATGTCTGTGTGGCTTAACACATTGAGGACAGATCACGAGAATTCTTGCTGCATATTACACAGGGTTTTACAAAGTATCATACTTTAAAAAGATACTAGCTTGTAAGAACATGTAATAAATAACTTCAAAAATGTAATGGGTATTTAATTTTAAAGCATCCCTTTAACATTTATGTAAAATGTTTTTTGTACTCGTTCAATAGAAACTTATCTGGCCACTAGGTAAAGATAGCAATAAAACTACTGGTCTGCAATGTGTTAAGATAGATCAGAATTAAGATGCGGCCTGTTGGACTGCATCAGTCACATAGATTGTGTTTCAGTAGTTTGAGTCAATGCTTAAGAATAAGTAGGTTTCAAATGAAAATGGGCATTTTTATCTTATTTTGGAAAATCAGAAGACCTGACAACACTCGGCCTGCATCCTCATAAGGCAACAATGGGATGAAGCGAGGACGCACTGTTCCTTTTAGAACAGAGCATACGGTCTCTCATACAAGTCTTGGACCGAATTGTGTCAAGAGAGGCATCACCAGAAACCAATCCCACTAGACCTCAATCTTGGCCTTAAAAGTCTTCAGAACTGGGAGAAAACAAATGTCTTGTTTAAGTCACTCAGACCGTGGCATTTTGTTATGGCAGCTGAAGCTGACCAATACACAGCTCCTGCTCCGGATGTGACAGTTATCTGAGAACTCCGCCCCATGCTCTACCCTCCACATGCACTGGCCTGCCATTTCTCCAAGCACATTCCCTCCCCGTTCCTACTGCACGGGTCTAGTTCCGACTTCACGATCCCTGGCTGCCTTTCTAACTGGAACCTGCATCTTATCTCCACCCTAGTGGACTTTACCAGCCACCCCATGCCTGAAAGAATGCTCCTTTTGCAAGTTAAAATGGGGGACCACATTACTCTCGCCATGAAGCCCTCACTGCCATGGTGGCTCAGACTCTTGTTCTCTTAGCACTGTGTGGGGTACCCAGGTCTTAGTCCTGTGTAGGAGACAAAGTGAAGGTCATGAGGATGGACCCACGGGGGAGTCAGAGCACAGGAAAGCACCCCGAAGCCATGCAGACGGTAACAAAGTGCTGAACGAGAGGTGCGAATAGAATGCCAACGTGGTTACCAGGGAATTAAACATACATTCCTACTGGAGGACGCTGCTTGGGCCTCCTGGAGGAGACACCGACTAGGAAGATGGGACTAGTCTACGACTAATGGGGGTGGAGTAAGGAGAGACCTTGAAGCAAGTCTGTCCTTCCTGAACCTAGAGTTCTCTGTCCCCCAGTGCACATTTCCAGATAAATGAGTGAATGGGATCAGTGAGCAAGATGGCAGCAGAAGCAAGCACTTAAGGTCTGTAAGTCAGGCTTCTGGCTCAGAGATTTGCAGCTAGACCTGTTCTAAATCCTAACAACAACCAAGAACCTTGCTGTGCTTAATTTTAAATAAGCACAAAAGCTAATAAATAACGTCCACCTGATATAACAGTATGTGTTTTACCGATGACATCATTGGGTGGAAGATACAATCCCACTCCCCCCAAGTGTGAGTCATGTGATTCATTGTCATTTCAGCTATGATGTCGCTATACAAGCTATATTAGGTTATACGATGTCTTTAAAGAGGCGAGTCTTCCAACATGGGTCATAAGAAGTTGGCTCTTTGGAGCTCACTGGTCCATTCTTTTTTTAAAAAAATTTAATTTTATTGATTGATTTTTAGAGAGACAGAAGGAGGGGGAGATAGAGAGAGGGAGAGAGAGAGGAACAACGACCTGTTGTTCCACTTATCTATGCATTCATTGGTTGCTTCTTGTATGTGCAACCAAGGATCGAACCTACAGCCTTGGCGTATCAGGATGATGCTCTAACCAACTGAGCTTCCCCAACGGGGCTCATAGGCCCCAGTTTGCTTTCACATTTCCTTTTTCTCTTTTAAAACACCTGCTGAACTGCACAATCCCATTAAAACATTATGTCACCGCAACTCGACCTTTTTTACTTTATTCTCTTATTTCTTGAGACCACAATCCTCTCCTATTTGAGTCATTTTAATCTGAGGCATTTAAAAAAATTTGGCTGGAATAATTTTCAATTAATTTCTTTTCGGAAAAATATGTGGGCAGCGATGTCTGAAAATCTATTTTACCCTCACACACAAATGGGGGTTCACTGAGGTATGAGATTCTAGGATGATAATTCTGTGTTTGCAGACCTCTGAGGACATTGCTCTGTCACATTCTAGAAGTCAGCACTGCGGATGAGAGCTCTGCTTCTGATCGGATCTGCTGCCCTTTTCAGGCAACCTGCTTGCTTATTTTTGTCCCCCCTCCCCCCAATTAATTTTATCTTAGAAATTCAGATGTTTCATCAGGATACAGCAGCTAGGTTTGCTTTGTTTTAATCATAGCGTCTTGCTGTGGGAGAGCCGTTTCAAACTGAAGACTCGTTTTCTAGATCTTAAATAGAAGTCATATTTATTTATAAGCAGGGATCTTACTCAAATCATGGAATAGCTTCTTTCCCTAAACACAGCAGAGTACAGAACTGAATCATTCTTCTTTATATCTACCTCACAAAATCCGGGCCAAAAGCCCACATCTTCTTTTTTATTTTTATTCTTTTGCCTTAAAACCTAAAAGGCAACAAGGAGCACCAGGAATTCGTGATTTTTTCTTCGACTCGCCAGTGGAGCGCCTGCCAATGTTCTTCGGTTAACTTGTGGAGGGACTGTCACGCTTGCTACGTAGAAGCTCTGAGGATACACTAGCGAACCATGGAGTTTAATACTTCAGGACGCTGGTGATTTGGTGCCCCCTTTCTCGCCTGCAGGTAGCTCAGCGAGCAGCGGTGGGGGGCCTGCCGCGCACGCCGTTCCGCCCCTGGGGGGAGCAAAGGTTCCCAGAGCGCCCGCCCGGGCTGGACTCATGCAATGGGACAGGCTGCCGTCCCTTCCGCGGCCGAAGTTACTTCTCCGAAGGGAGCAGGCCGCGCCTACCGCGGACCCCGCCATTCTGCTGCGACTGGAGCAGAGGCTTTGCGGGAAGCTACACGGGCTTACACACCTCCCCGCCTTCGTGTCCTCAAAGTGCAGCATGACTGCACCGCTGCCGGAAAGGAGGTGCTCGAGCCGGCCACCCCCGTGGGTCACGGAGCGTGGCAATCAGTCAATCCAGGGGAGGAAACCCCCAGCGGAGCTCAGCAATTAGTAATAAGCGAACCGCCGGCCCCACCCGCAAGGCGTAGAAAAGAGCAAAACCACGGGCAGGGCGCTCTCGGCCGAGTCGCCAAAGTAAATATTGTCGGGCAAGAATCCTTCCGCGCAGGATTTGAGGCTGACAAACCGCTCGGTATCCCACGTCATCGACCCCCCGGCGCGGGGATGACGCCGCGCGAGCCCGGGGAGCCGCGCCGGGCCCCCCTTTCGTCCTCCCTCCCCCCACCCCGCGTCCCCGCCCCGCGTCCCCGCCCCGCGTCCCCGCCCCCGCCCCGAGCTCGCGCGCCCGGGCGCTCCGGCGCCGACGGCACCTACCCAGCAGCAGCAGCCGGTGCGTCTGCTGCAGGTCCCGCTTCTGCTCGCGGAGCATGCGGTCGATGCTCCTGCTGACTTTCCTCGCCTCCCGCTCGGCTTCGCGCTCCTCGGCGCGCAGCGGGTCCGGGCGCCGCCTCCACTCCTTCTTCGGGGTGGCTTGGGGCCGCGCGCCTGCCGGGCCCCCGCCGGCGCCCCGAGGGGGTGTGGTCCGGGCCACGGCTCCCTCTGCCGCCAGGGCCGGGGCCGGGGCCGGGCCGGGCGGGGCGTCCTCCGGGTCCCCGAAGAGCAGCGGCCGCAGACTGTAGCACAGACCCATGTGGGCGCGGGGCTCAGGCCGGGCGCTCGGCTCGGGGGCTGGAGGGGGCTGCACCTGGGTCCAGGGCACGGGCGCGGGGGTCCCGGGCCGAGGACCGCGGCCCCTCACGGCCCGGGAGGGCCATTTTGCATTGTCCGCCGGGCGCAGGGGCGGCCGCCGCCCGGCTGCAGATCACCTGACAGCGCCGGAGCCGGCCGCCGACGGCTGCCCCCGAGCCCGGCCCCCCTTACCGTAAATGCCGCTGCCCCGGCGGCGCGTGTACCGTAAGTGCGGCCGAAAGGGCCGACCCCGTTACCGTAATCACCGCAGCCTGGGCAGGTCCTTGTTACTGTAAGTGCCGCTGACGGGGCATCTCCAGCCTCGCCTCCCGGGCCGGCCCCCGAGGCCGAGTGGAGCGCCGCGCGTGCGGGTCTGCGGTACCGTAAACACCGCCTCCCCAGCCCCGCGCGCAGCTGCGGACGATGCGGCAGTGGCGGTGGTGGGGCTGCGGCCACCCGGGGCTGCCATGGCGGCGCTTAAGAAAGCCAGCGTGGCTTCGGTCGTGGGGCAGGCGAAGGGGCAGACACTGGCTTTAAGAACCCGCATTCCTGAATATACCACCCGCAGAGCTCTCCGCGCCTGGCCGCTCCCTTTTCCAGCTTTCGTCACGGGCACACGTGGCCGCGCAGTTTTGATTCCCCGCCTTAATACCGTTATACCTTTGATCTGGACCATAATCTCCAAATCATTGTCAACAATGACCATACTAATCAAAGAACTGGAAATGAGCACATGTAATCGTCATATATTATTTGTATTTGCTAAAACAAGAATATGAAACTGCACCTGTAGCCCGTTTTTTAAATCAATATGTTTGGGGCAGAGAGCAGAGATGCATTCAGACTGGTCCCTCTTTCCCGGTCCTCTGGACACAACCCCCCAGAGGCCCCCACCTCCTGGTTATCTCCCACTTCACGTCCATCATCTTACAGAGCTTTTGCAATCGCTTTTAAGAACTCTGCTATAAACCGTGTTCCTTAATTTTGAGCAAAATGACATGGAGTAATATGACTGAAAGTTAAATCTATTTAATATAAATCCCATTAATACAGGAGATAGGGCTGTTTAACGAAAAATAGTATGTCACACAGTTACACTGTATCAGTCGCACTGTTCGATTACATTTTTAAATAAAGAAATTGGAGACCCATAATTCATATTCATTTTAAGGTCTTGTTAATAACATACGATTATACCATACTAGAGGTCCGGTGCATGAAAATTCATGTGGGGCGGGGGAAGGAGAGGGGGTCCCTCAGCCTGGCCTGCCTCCTCTCACAGTCCAGGAGCCTTCAGGGGATGTCCTCCTGAAGGCTTCCGGGAGTGGGCCTAAGCCGCAGTCTGGCCTGGCCTATCAGGGGAAGCCACCCCCATCACCCCACTGTGCCTGCCTTGGCTTTGTCCCGAAGGACCTCCGGAAGGACGTTCGGCTGTCTGGTATAATTAGCATATTATGCTTTTAGTATTATAATGTTTTGGACTTAACATTATCTCCAAATTTTTGCCAAAATTATGCTGTACTTTTAGATCTTTGAATCTAAAGGAGGACTATGGCAAACCTAACTTGGGAAAACAGAAGTTACTAAACATCACTGTCATTTTCACTGTTCAGTCATGCACCCATCTCCATTTATCCATTAATTTATTTAATATTTACCAAGTACCTACAATGTGCTAGGCATTCTGGTTGGTACTGGATGAAACAAAAGAAGCGGGTCTTTGTGGAATTTATACACTGGTAAGGTAGAACTATGTTCAGCGATATAAATGCAAATTGCTACAAAAAAGTGTCCCCATAAAGAAAACTCCAGGTACAGATGACTTTACTGATGAATTCTATAAAACACACAAGGAAGATAGTAATACCAATTTCATATATAAACTCTTTCAGAATATAGAGGAAGGAAAAACAAAACTCAATGACTTGCCTGAAGCCAACACATCTTTGATACAAAAATCTGACACATAAAATATAAAGCCAGGAAATTTTAGGCCAATATTGCTCCTAAGTATAGATGCAGTAAAGCTTTAAAAATATTAGCCAACAATGTAGGAAAATAGTATGCCCTGATCAAGTGAGATTTACCTCCAAAATGCAAGGTTGATTTAACATTTGATAACCAGTGTAATTCACCACATTAACATGTTAAAGAAAAATGGTATAATCACCTCAATAGATGTAGTAAACCATCCTATCTAATAATAGACAAACAGGGTAATTGACCGTACCTTCGCTACACCTCCCATTGGCTAATCAGCACAATATGCAAATTAACCGCCAACAAAGATGGCGGTTAATTTGCATACGGTGCGAAGCATCGGAGCAAAGACTGAAGGTGGCTCCGGCCGGAGCGAAGGCCTGGGTCCTGGGTGCTGGAGGAAAACCGGTGCCGGCAGCCAGGGGAAGGGAAGGCCTATTGCACAAATCTTTTCGTGCAACAGGTCTCTAGTTTGAAATAATTTAACATCTGTTTATGAAAAACTCCTAACTCCTAGCAAACCAGGAATAGAACTAAACTTCTGATAATGGAACATTCATTAAAATCCTAGAGCTAGCTCTAATCGGTTTGGCTCAGTGGATAGAGTGACGGCCTGCAGACTGAGGGGTCCCGGGTTCAATTCCAGTCAAGGGCATGTACCTTGGTTGCGGGCACATCCCCAGTAGGGGGTGTGCAGGAGGCAGCTCATCGATGTTTCTCTCTCATTGATGTTTCTAACTCTCTATCCTTCTCCCTTCCTCTCTGTAAAAAATCAATAAAATATATTTAAAGAAAACCCCTAGAGCTAACATCATAATGGTGAAACACTGAAGACATCCTTTCCTGACATTGGTCACAGGCTATGATGTCTGCTTTCACCATTTTCCTTCAACGTTATGCTTGAAGTTCTAGCCATTGCAATAATGCAACAAAGGGAAAGTAGAAAGATTGGAATGGGAAAGTAAAATTGTCTGCATTCCCAAATCACATAATTGTGTATATAGAAAATAGCAAGGAGTAATCTATTTTTTCTTCTTTTTTTAATATATTTTATTTATTTTTTACAGAGAGGAAGGGAGAGGGATAGAGTGTTAGAAACATCTATGAAAGAGAAACATCGACCAGCTGCCTCCTGCACACCTCCTCCTGGGATGTGCCCACAACCAAGGTACACGCCCTTGGCTGGAATCGAACCCGGGACCCTTGAGTCCAAAGGCCGACGCTCTATCCACTGAGCCAAACCGGTTAGGGCAAGGAGTAATCTTTAAAGCATTCTACAACTAATATGTGAGTTTGCCAAGCCTAACTGACTGGCTCCCTGCCCATTCATCTGCAGGGCAGGTTTGAGATCACTGCCTCTGGGCAGGTGCACAGCCATGCATTCCCTTGTGTCAGGGCCCAATCATGTCCAGAAGACTCCTGAGACCTTCAGCTTTTCTGAGTGGCAGCCCACAAGTCCCCCCTCTCCCCTCCAAAGCTGTGAGGTGGCTGGGGATGGGACAGGACAAGGTGTTTTTAAGCTGTGTCCCCTCCTTGGGGAGTGGCCTTTACTCAGCTTGGGCACAGGCCCCTATGGCTCTGGGAGTCTGCTGACCGGCAGAGGAACGGGCTGACCCAGTACTCGCCCTGCTGTGGAAGCGGCGAGTGGAGCAGCCCAGTGTTTAGTCACAGGCAGAGACAGACATGGAATTTAGGAAGAAGAATACTACACTGCTAAGGTGCAAGCTGGAAGGGACAGGTCCAGGGAGGCCATACCATGCAGAACCTTTCTGTTAGCAGATTCCGGGTCTGAATCGTGGCGTGCGAGCCAAGCTGTTAAACTGTCACTGGAACAGGACTGAGCCAAGGCCAGTCTGCCCTGGCACTAGAGTGTGTCCCCGGAACGGGGCTGAGCGGAGGCGGGTCTGCCCCAACATGGTTTGGGATGTGCAGGTTCTTGTGCAGGAAAAACCTCAAAACAAGAGTCCAGCTGAAAGCGAAAGTCATTTTATTAAAGCGTAGATCGTTGAGGCAGGAGGAGGGCCCTTAGAGACAGGATCAGGAGGGAGGGGGTAAGCCTGGGACAAGCTGCCACTGACCACGGCTCCCCTGGTAGCAAGTCTTCAGAACTTCGGATAAAGAAAGCGAAAGACATGCCTGAGGGAAGGGGCGCAGCCGTGCTCGAGGGAGAGTGCGCGCTGCCATCCTGTGTTCCGAGGGCTTTGTCTATTTTTGAGAGGCGGGAACTTTAGGGGAGATCCCAGGGGAAGATCTCAACAGAATATCCATTGCTTTCCAATTGTGTCCTTGAGTATGCTGATGCATCAAAACGGGCTGGGGTCAGTTTCATCTCTGTCTTGGGTTAGTCTGGCTCTAACTGCTTTTTTGTTTTTGTTGTAGTTGTTGTTTCCTCGTCTCCTGACTGGGGTGATTTAAGCCGTCCACTCTTAGATATCTTTGGTTGGAGGAGAGACTTAAACCATCCGCTCCCAGGTGTCTTTGGCTGGGAGGGTGGAGGCTTGCGGTTTATTAGCTGCTAATTGCTCCGCCATTTGTTCAGCTGTTTGTCTCTGTTTCCTCATTTCACTTGTCAGGAAGTTTTCCTCGTGTCTTACGAACCTGCCTCACAACCAGGTATCCTGGGCCTGTCCTCTGCCTCACACGGTCCCAGCGGTCTCGGACATGGAGTGGCAAGCCTTGCTGGGCCTTCTCAGCCCATCTTCTCTAGGAGTCCAGAAGCCAGAGGGCTGAGAGGAGCCGGCACCTGACCCTGCGGTAGGCGGTGGCTGCTCCTGAAGGTGTCTGTGGCCAAAGGGGAAGAGGTGAGGCACCTGGTGTCCTGACCCCCATGCCTCATGGGAGCAGCACCTCACGGCATCACTGACTCTCCTTACTATTCTCCTCCGTCTCCTTACAGCCTATTCCTGAAGCTGTTTCCAGCACTCACGTTCAGTCTTTTTTTAATTTATTGTTGTTAAAAAGTTATTTTAAAGAATTCCTTTGCTGTGGGAAGCTCCCCGCCCCCAAACATTCACTTTGTCTTTTTTTTTTTTTTTTCACTTTCAGTCTTGAGCTCCTGATATTTCCAAAGTGGGGACAAGGGGTGGAGGAGCCACAGTCTGTGGAAGATGGAAACCGTGGGTTACACAGACCTCAGAGGATCTGCTCGTCTCAGGGCTTGTCCCAGCGCCTACTGGGCAGTGGGTTTGGGGAACAGAGAGGTGAGTGGTGATTTCTGCCCGTATCCTGATTTCAGACGGGCTGCGGTCTCTGTGCTGCAGCTGTGTGGCGGGCTTACCAGGGGGTGGTGTCCCACAGGATGTCTGAGCACAGCGTGCCGTGTGGGCCTGAACAGTGTGGCCTCATTTC